CTGTAGAAAAAGAGGGGTAGAGCAGCGCTAAACAAACTGAATACAGTGAAGAAAAAGGCAGCACACTTGATAGAAGGGGAATCCCTGTAACCCCTGAGAAAAATAGAACAAGTAGTGCCAAGCATAGACTTCTTCATCAAAAGTGCATATGGTAATAAGAACAGTAAAGTATAATTAATATATATATGAGAGAGAGAGAGTCCTCAATAAAACATAAGAGAAAAAAAATATAAAAATACCAAATGGTAAGGCACAGTCTCAAAGGTAGCAATACATCTTCTAGTGCTTGTATGGTACTTATTGGGTAGTCTTGCTTGATAGAATCAAAGAACACAGGCAAACCAATAGTGCAATATGATTGTAAATAATAAGGCAAACAACACTTAAAACAGATGTCAACTCACATATGATAGAGCTATAACCAGTTTTAAGTAAAACAGCATGAAGTGGTTTATATTCCCCACTTGCAGCATATCCCTCTAAATTTGGTACACAATGGAGTGGTGGTGAGGCAAATCACAACTGAATAGCAATGAGGTAGATAATATAAAATTTACATATCGTGGCAAAAAGGTTTTGAGACGGATATGCGTAGTACCTGGAGGAAGTATAACATTTTCGGTAGGATGTTCATCTTTAAGATGGTAAGTCTATAGGACCATCCAAAATGGAGAAGGTGCCAGGAGTTAAGATCTTTGGAAATAGTTTGAATCAGTGGATGGAAGTTGCATTCGCATAGTTGTTAGCGGTTTGGGATGTCATACTCCCAGATATTTTATGGAAGATTTGGCCCATGTAAAATAGAGGTATGTTTGCAGTGCAGCCCTTAATGGGTGAGTAGTTTTTAATGGCAGTATTTTACATTTGCTAGGGATTGCCTGGAAAATTGAGACTTTATTATATAGCGATATTTCTTGTAGTATATGAGGTAAAGTGTGTGTGAGGTCTGAAACTGTAAATAGCAGATCTGTCAATGCTGAGATCTTCTACTTTGCCTTTCAAATCCCAAAGTCTTGAATTTGTGTGTTGTCCATAAGGCTCTGTAAAAAAGGCTCCACAACAAGTTCAAAAAGGAGGTGGGGGGTGTGGGGGTACAGTACAGTGCTTTCAGCCAACTCAACCAAATGGGTCCGAAACCCATTAGTTCTAATGTTGCTAGCATCATTAGGGACCACCCTTTTCAGCATCAATAGATAAGATTGAGTCCGTGTGAGAATTTAGATGAGTGGATTAGGTTTATTAGGTATAAAATGAAAACAGGGGGGGTTAGGCGCTCACTATAGTAACAGGCTAGAAAGTAAGAATGGGCAGCAGTAACCAATACAAGATACAAGGATTCCCAACCTTGTGATAAAATGGCATAGACAGAGAATGGAAGGAAACCGCGCCCTAGGTAGTGTAATACAAAAAATCATACACATATACAGGTCTTATTGTGAAGATATAAATATACAGTTGACCTAAAAAAAAGAAGACATAAACGGATAATAGTGTAATAAGTTAAGTATAATGGGTATATGTATGAATGCTTCTAAATGGTCACACTCACATTTACCAGAGCTAACTCAGCTCAGCACAATCCCCGTCTAAGGATATATGGAGCAGTAGGCGTATTGGTGGTCTCAGGCAGATTATATGTGAAGAGACATAGAAAGATCCAAAAGTGCAATATATACTGACAAAATAAGTGAAATAAGGTGTAAAATAACGTACTCACATTTGCTAGAGCACAACTTGCTCTAGTTGGTGTAGCATAGGTGGTATAATCCCCACCACAGAATGTGGTAGTAACCAGGAGGTAAAGGAGTTGAAGTCCAGAGTAGATAAAGGATAAAAATATACCTTTTAATGGTAACAGAAAAAAATAAAATTGTAAAATACTATATAAAATTGTTTAAAAGTCCCACTTGACACGTTTCGCCTATAAAAGGCTTCCTCAGAAGTGAGTAAGGTCCTGGTTCTATCTGTTTATATAGGGGAGTCCATTATGTGTAGTAATGTCCTGGTTTAGTGCAAGGATTACTTCCTGCTTCCTGTAACCACCGGTGGAACGCACGCATCACCCCGGAAGTGACGCAGCGTTTTTGACAGTGGTAATATGTGCGTTTCACTTGTGGAATGCAAACGGTGCCAGAATGGCATCGCTGCGCTGCCATCAATGAATATCAATCTTATGCGACCCACAAGGCGGTCAGCATAACAATAAATCCTTCAATAAAATAGGGACAATCTTGAATAGCTTAATTGATGTAAATCCATTCTGATTGGTTAAGACTTCTGGTGGAAGTGTAGCGGCAATTAGTATCTCCTACATTGGAACCTCATTTCAGCCATTTTTCGACAGGTCAAGCCTATTGAGAGAAAAGAGATAGGACTTAGTATCTCTAGTAGTACATTGTTACGGTACACCCTGGTATAAGAGGGGTTAATACCGCTGAGGACGTTCCATTTTCGAATGAAGAAGCAGCTAACAGCAGTTCCAATTAGCCGTACAGGAAACATACGAAATCCTTCACGAACCAAACAGCCGAACGAGTAAATCATACGAATCCAATACCCCCAAGTACGAGACCAAGCTCCGTATTGAGGGTTAAGTAGAGATCTGGTTTATTGAGGGCTACCTGCTCGGTATTTATGCAGGTCTCCCACCTCGTCGACACTTCTCTAGGGGACCAGATGGAAGACTGGGACAATATGGATACAGTAGCCAATCATAGTGGCACAAGCATAAACACTCCCCTTTGATGTAGATAAACCCTCCTCTCTATCCTGGAGATAATTGGGAAGTAATCCAATTTTCTCCATGTATAGAGGCTAAACTCCATTTTGTACCTGAACATAAAAATACAATAAAATCAATAACTTTAAATTACACGAACCGAATCCACACATTCAATGTATCCCCAGATAGCTGGGATCTGATCGCACATTATTACCTAATGCCGCTCAGTTCAATCGCCATGGAGCCAAAATCTTTCACATTGTCTGCGTCTATTCGTGCCAGAAAGTACTGAACGGACCGACGTTCGTGTGCTGGATGGCATAGAAGGGAGGTCGGCGGCTTCAGCGGTGTTCGTGCAAAATAGCGTCCGTTTTCAGTTCCATAGCTTGGGCGCCGAACACCGCTGGCCGTTCAGGACTTAATAATGGCCGACGCCACGTGGGAGTTACATGAACAGTGACCTCCCAACGTTCACCAATTAAGCTGAGGTTAACCGCAGCTTCTGGTAGGTCAATTGATGGCACACTCCAGTTCCCAGGTGGTTGATCGTTCGGTAGTTTATTCGGTAGTTTGTGACATAATTGAACGGAGGGTACAGACAGGCAATTAACTGAATGATAAACAAAGGCAGCGGAATAGTGCATAGTTCTATGACAGAGGAGTCTGTCAAATAAGTACCAATCTGTGTTATTTAAATTCCAATATAGGGAAATTACTTTTTGGTGTCTATTAGTATAGATATATTATGAGCAGGATAATAGATTTTAATAAAAACAAGAAATTTTGCATGAGAATAAATAAGTACAAAAAGCATATGTAAGAGTTAAAAAAAACAATCTGTACCAGTAATCAAATTGGAATTTAAAATGCACATATTTAATACAGTAGCGTTTATGTGCACAAAGTGGTATGAAACATGCATAAAATAAGATATGGCCAAAACCTGGGAATGTAAAATAGGACAAGTTTATATAAATAATTTATACATATTTATGAAAAATGCCAAAACATGCATGGATATCATAATATCACAATGGAGAGGCAGGAGGTATAACTGAGGTAGGAGAATGGGTTAAATGACTGGTAAAACAAACTTTTTAATATTACT